CCTCCTCTTCTTCTTCTTCTTTACTATAGTTTAATTAGTGCCAAAGAGAAAACTCATTCATTTTTTATTTTACCAAGGTATGTGAACTTATTAACACCAGCAGGGCTGATAACTAGTTCTTTAAGTGCTAGGCACTGGCTGTTAAAATATGGAAAGACTGGCATATAGTCACTGTCCAGTGTCCCTTGGACATAGTGGACACCTTTAGGGCACCATCAGTGCCTCTACTTGAGAAATGAATTTTCTTAGTCCTGTCTCCTTAGCCATGCACCAGCCCATCCACCCCACCCCATCTTGCCAATCTTTTAAAATTTCCTTTAGAACTCCATAACTTCCAATCGAACCAGATTCTGTTCGTCTTCCCAAAGTCTGATTTCTTACCTCCGCCGTCCTCTGTTCCCTTTCTTCTGTTGTATGCTTATCTGATCCGGTCCCACACCCTTCATAAGCTCCTCCCTCATCCCCAGATCCCCAGACCTTCTCCCCCTCCCTTCCATTCCTAGGCCACCTTTGTCTTCTGTAGCACTTCACAATTTCTATTTTGAATTAAAAATATTGGAATAAATGCCCTATATTTTTACTTTAGAGCTTTCCTGAAGGCTTAACCATACTAATAGTCCTAGAGACCTTAAAGCAATCTTAAACGTATTAGTTGCTCTCCAAAAAATACAGGGTGTGGCAAATGTAAGTTTACATGAAACACAGAGTTTATTCTTGTATTATTATTTATTAATTATTGTTTTATTTTCCACACAAACAACTGTAAACCTACTTTTGCCGCACCCTGTATTTTGTCCATGAACTGAAATACAATCAAGTTGCTATTATAATATTTCCCTGTTTGTCCTTTAAAACAATATGCATTTGATACATAATGTTCCACATATCGGGACAGTATATTGTTTGCCTAAGATATTCCAGACCTGGGGTTCTCTTTAAAATTGGAACTGAGTCCAAATGTTCTTTTCTTTTTTTTTCTTTTTTTAATATATCTTTATTGATTTCAGGGAGAGGGAGAGAGAGAGAGAAACATCAATGCTGAGAGAGTCATTGATTAGCTGCCTCCTGTAAGCCCCCAACTGGGGATCGAGCCCACAACCCGGGCATGTGCCCCGACCGGGAATCAAACCTCGATCTCCCGGATCCTAGGTGGACGCTCAACCACTGAGCCACGCCCGGCTGGGTGAGTCCAAATTTTCGTTAAGAGATACGCCATTGACACTAACACTGTCAAACCATTACCTGTGGTCATTGTCTCCCTCCCCACTACTCTGTCCCACCCCTTGCCCTAAATTAGCAGTTATTTACATGACAGTTGTTAGTTGACTCACTGGACTGACCAATGATCTCCATTCCCTCAGGGCAGCACACTGAGTAATGATCACAAGTCTCTAAACGTTTGGAGCCTGTGGGTTACCCTCTGAGAACCCCGCACAGGTCTACCCTGTGATGGGGCTGTATGCTTACAAATGTCAACTGGATGCCTTCCCCACAAAATTACATTATTATCTATTTTGCTCACCTCACTGTAATGTGTTAAATTTTAACCATACTACATTATTTTTATGCCTGGGACTAGCCATCCAATTAGCTTAAAATACATAAATTGGGTAACTTTAGGGGAAGCTAGATATGAACTGTGACATTATTGAACTTTTTAAGAAAATGTGGAGATCCAAAGTAAGTTAGGAGAAGATGCTTTTGTTCGTTAGAAATTCTGTTAGAAAAACTTGGGGGAATAATGAAGAACCAAACTTCTCATACCTAAGAAACAGATAATTTATTGACTCCTGCTATGAATTTGCTGTTCCAATCCCAAGTCTAAATGCCTGCTGTTGAAGAAGCATTCTTCCCCAAAGTGAACCTCGTAAGATAAAAAATTAATGATTTACCTTTTCATTTCTTGGTTTGAGGTTGCACAGAGGCAAAATGTTCTATTTCCAGACTGAGGCACACAATTAAACACAAATGGTTTTCCTAAACAGCTGTCAATGTCGATCTCCGCACCTTCCAGTTTTATTGCCTCTAGAGGCGGGCGTTTTCCTTCATCCTGCAATTGATAAGGAAAAGGCTCAGCATGGGCGCTGCGACGAAGCAGATAAAGGAGAAATTGAGAGAGGAAAGGACTCAAGTTATTCTTTGAATTGATTGCTTGTTCAGAAATAAAAATAAAACCAAAATGAGTTTTTGTAGATTATTTTTCCCATGATATACTCCATGGAACTCCAGATTTCCAGCTATGATATTTTCCCACATCCCCTTTGAAGAGCCTGCATATGCCTTTTATTCTCATGCCATTTTAGGAAAGTACCATTAATTTTTAACGCCAATTTTTTCTATCAGAAAAAAGAACATCAAAAAAAGTTGATATTGTAAAATATATGTGGTTGGTAGTGACATGGGATCTTTAGTTAGTGTCTGATTAACGTTGTATTTCATGCTTGTGTGTCAGG